GTAACCTTGTAGACTTGTACTTGATTTTTTTTTAAGATTTACTGTTATTTCAGGAAAAAAAATCAAAAGCTGATCTCTCACTTCATTCAGCTGGTAATCAGAAGAAAGACATCAACAAGAAAAATAAAAGGTACTTTTGTTTTGCAAAAGGGAAGAAAGACAAAGATAAGTTGTATAGTTACAAACATATCAGCAGATATAGTAATAAAAGAACACCCCTCATCTTCTGGACGCTAGGAAGTCAGATGGAGTTGACTTTCTGTAGAGCCAGATAATGCTTAGGGACATAGAAATTACTGCCATCAAACACTCTTATGCCATCCATGACTAAGTCTTTACCAGGAAAAGCATTTTAAAACATATAGAAAGGTACCTCAGAATTAATCACAAATTTATCTGAGAAAAAAGCAAAAACAATCCAAATGGTTTGACTAGTTTCAACTAATTCCACTCACCCCGTACCAGTATTTCAAAAGAAACAAATTTCACTACTCATCAGTCGTGATGTAAAGAACCAACACCATGTACCTCAGCTAAGCTTGTATATTACTTTAAGCAATATATTTTGACATAGGATGGTTCACTGAGCACTTCCATGCCAGTGGCATTTCTCCATCTTTTCATTCAAAGCAGCACTTTTAGCAACAGATGCAATATTACCCCACTATTCAATGCTACCTCTGATTTTTACGATTAACTCAACAGACTGATAAATACATGCTGCTATACACATACAATGCAGGAAAATTTTACTGGGTAGATATAATCATTTGTATCTGCATTTTCCCCTAATTTTTATTTCAACACCTAACTGCAGTTAAGGAAGCAATATCTTTATTGTGTTTCAGCATGACTATGTATTTTTCTTTCTCTTGTTTTTTTTTTTTTAATGTACTTATCCTATTCTCTGCTAGACTTCTGTGTAATGTACTGTTAACTTGAATATATTTTTGTACTGAATTGCTGATAGCTTTGTAAGGATAATTTTCCTCAATGACACTACATGACATAGAAAAAAAAAATTTAGCTGTAAWGTTTAAATATTACTGTCCAAGTTTGTACCTCAAATGAATTGTTTAAAGAAATGGACTAATCAATTGACAAAGACCTACCTCCAGACTTTAAATGGAATGAACTTGTTAGTTTTGAGACGTTCGAAACAGTTAGGACTGCAACTAATCCCTAATTCAAAACTATTTTTGTAAAATAACTTGTGGAAAATGAACACGTTTTAAATTACTTTCGTATGAAAAAAAAAAGAACAAAAAAAAAACCCTTCAAAGAAACTTGAAGCTTTGTAGGTGGAAGCAACAAGCTCAGCTTTTGCATAATGCAATCACAAGTATGTGTTTAAAAAAATAATTAGTAGATTGTAAGAAAATACTTGACAAGTATTTTCATGTATTTTTCACAAATGTGATTTTGTAATATGTTTCAGCCAGATTTATTTTAAATGCTTCTTATGTAGAGGTTTTTTTATTCTCCTCTCACTTTCATTTTCCTTTCTCTATTTCTATTTCCTTTCCTTTCTCTCTATTTTATTTCCCTTCTTCCTCTCCTTCCTAGTCAGTACCTTTTAACATTGTATTAGTAACTGGGCCAGGGGTAGTTTCTCAGGAAGGCCTCTATCAGCATGGCTTTAGTACTGAGCCAAATGCAGTTAAAGGTAACTACGTACTGGCTTCCTCAGAGGCAGTGTCACGAAATATGGACCTCCTCGGAAGACCACAGAGGGGGAGCTCACTGGTGGAAACCGCTGAGAAAGAGCTGATCGGAGCAGTACAGCCAGGCATGTTAACACTATAATAGATGTAGGAGATGAGGAGTAATCCCAGCTATGCAGGAGCTCTCATGGGCCAAATCCAGTGTCACTTGAAGCCAGCGGGAGGGATTCTGCTGGCCCCGAAGGGCATCGCATCAAGCCTTAGCAGTTGCGTTGTCAGGMTGTTCTTTGCATTTTTTTATTGTAAAACCACAGTATTCAGTGGGTGACATAGAAATAATCGCTGGGTGCATGTCCCACATCAACCTCCGAGAGGCTTACTGCTCTGATGAACTTAATCTTGTATTTTCTATATATTGTAGTACAATCAAAACACATTACTACCTCTTAGGGCCTACTATACCTCATTTTTTTTCAGACTGAAAAATTGCATGTGGCCATTGAATCAGTGAGAACATCATAAAATTTTTTATATATATAGTTTATTTTTGTGGGAGATAAATTTTATACGACTGTTCTTCGCTGTCATTGGTCACTGCTAAATAAGACTGGACATTTAACTCTTTTTACCATTTCTGCAAGAGAGCTGTGTTTGCAGGAAAAGAAAAAAAAAAACGCTTCAAAATGTTTAACTACGGTTTACTTTTTCTTTTGAGTGTCTTCTTCCTTTTTGCTTTGTTCTGCGTGTAGAGTTGCTGTCTATGATTGTACTTTGAATCGCTTGCTTGTTGAAAATGTTCCTTTAATGGATTATCACAGTCTGTTCAGCACAATAAACATAATAGCCTCTGTGATCCCCATGTTGTTTGATTCCTAGACTTTTGTCACAGTTCCATAAAATGGGTAATAAAGTTTGGTCACAGCAGACCAAATTTGTAAAAGCCTTGCATGCAAGAAGTCTCTTTTTTCGTCCCATACTGTAGGGCGCGTGCTTGAGAAAAAGAGCACGTAGGGCCCGCAAGGGCGAGCAGGGAGGCCACCATTTGCCGCGTGTCYGGTGGCTTTCCAGGCAGAGCCGTGTGCTGAAGGTAGAGATGGTCACCCGGCCAGGGAGCACCTCTGCGAGCGGTGCCAGGAGCGGTCGCTGGTGCCTGGCCTTGACTAGGCCCTTGGGAGGCAGCCACGGCCACAAGCCTCCCTGTTCTTCACCACAGCTTGTGGCCCTGGTGTGGAGGTCGTCTTGTGCAGCGACGAGGCTGAGAACAGAAATAACCCTTGGGGGAGGAATGAGAAGCCTGGTTAGTGCCTGCCTCCAGGAGAAGGAAGTGCGGCCAGGCTGGTGGCGTCATGTCACCCAGYGTCACCCAGAACATGAGCCATGGTGGAGCAGCGGGTCTTCCCTGCAGAGCTGTGTGTCCGTTTTCCACTTCCCACATAGTCAAGGTTGGAAAGATTACCCCGGCATCGAGACCCCAGAGGCAAGGATGTGGCTGTAGCTCATTTTGGCACAGTTTGTGCCCAGCCTAGAGACCCACAGGGGTCACAGGCAGGATGAGCAGGGCTCCTCTGGTCCCTCTGGCCTGTCACAGTGACTATGAAGGATTGTGGCGCCCATCTCACTCATACTTGCAACCGTGAACCTTCTGCGTGGTAGAAGAGGTACAGGGTAATGGTTCAGGCAGTGTTTTTTCTCAGCGTTTTTACACATTCTCCACATGAACTCATTTGCAAACTATCCACTCAATCTGTCTTGGCCTACTAGCCCCTGCTCTCCCGAGGGGTTTATGGCATGTTCGTGTAGCTCTTGATTGCTTGTAAAATCACCAAAATATAAAGTGTTAAGTAGTAACATATCCAGCCTCGAGTCAGAGATGTGAGTAATGGCCGAGCGGGGCATCCTCTCCTGCCCGCCCTGCTCGGTGGAGTTGAAGGCTCAGCTTTCCTGGTGGTCTTCCTCCCTGTGGCTGCCATCACTTGGCTTTTCCTGTTCCTTTATCTGATGTAGCCACCCACCTGACAGAGCAGCCAACTCGCTGCAGAACTGCTGCTGCTCTCTGCTGAACTCCCCTCTCCTCCTTATTACTCATCCCTCCCGCTCACATCCCTCCCACTTGCCTTCCCGAGGCATCTCCCAGTAAGATATAGCATAGTAGTCCGGAAGCATGTGTGCTTAATGCCCCAGTGGGACTATTTGCACATATAGAACTAGCCAGTTTCTGCAGGATCGAGGCCCACCCCGGTCCTGATCCCAAGACTAGTTATTCAAGATGCTTGTGGCAAGGGSCAAATTAAATCTCTGCCATAGCTTTCCACTCTCGTCATGCCAAAAAAGAAAGGGAATTCCTCAAAGCTGGCATTGCCATTGTCTCGCCCAGCAGCTTATCAGTCTATAATTTTTTCTGCATTTAAGAGATTCCACCTTTTTTTTTTTTTTAATTTCCCACCATCTTCCTTATCACATCAATTTTTAAACATAAGAAATACTTAGGCACATAGTTCTTGTTATGAATGAAGGCCTGGTTGCTCTATGTCTTCTTGATTCAGAAATAATACTAATGACAGCTTTATTACTTCTTTGACCACCCTATAGTTGTCCAACTTGCACATACCCAAGGAGCAGATGGCCCTGGGCATGCACAGCTGCTCTATCTCAGACATCCCTGGACACACCAATCACCAGCTAGCCCATTTGCTGCATTGCACCCTCCRCCATCCAAGCCACCTTTTCACTTGTTGGATATTTTTCTCTTTTGTTTCCTATCCACCTATGATTTAACCCCTTTGCTAGAGGCTGGGTACTCCTCCTCTAAACTTTCAGTACACTCGCTCCAGTATTAAGAAAAAGACGGCATCTTCCCCTATCTGATAGACTCTGAAGACACACARGTGTAATTATGATTTGCCTGAAGATATCAGCCCAATGCGGGATCCATCTGACTAAGGAGGAATCAGTTGGCACCCCAAATAAGGCTGCAGGGGGTTGTGACCCAAACCTGCAGCATGGGGTTACCATCAGCTTTTTCTGTGAGAATAAGTGGAAACTGAAGCACTAGGAGATAAGATGAAAGTCCTCAGCAATGCTGTCCTACCAAGATGGGAATAATTAAGCCCAGCTAAAACCATTAGCATTGTCACGTAAAGGAGGAGATTTACATTGTCAACAATGGTTAGGGCAAAACCGGAGCAGGAATCCAAACACACACCACATTAAGACATGCTGTTAAAATAATCAGTGGAAGAAAATAACAAATGAGAACTGGGTGGATC